TTACATATATATTTAAAGATTATATTATTTGAAAATATTCAATTTTTTATTATTTAAACAAAATTTAAAAATTATATTTTTATTTCTGTTTAAACCCAAAAAATAATTCCAGAAGGGCTCAAAGTGTAGAAAAAGTAAAAAAAACAATTAGTGTTTAAAAGACAATTTTATTGTAAAATATCATTAAAAAAATAAATAAAACCTTTAAATATAACACAATTTGAATTTATAGGTATATAAATCAGCTTTTATGCCTTTATAAACTTATTAAATGTGATTTAAATACTTTAAAATACTAAAAATCTAATAATATTTTAAAAATTTATAAATCATAAATAAAGAACAATTATTTTTTAATAATATTATTGAAAAAATAATTAAGACAATCTACATGCTTATAATAACATATTGTTTTGTAAATAAATTAAAAATACTACAGATTAATAGTGAAATTGTTTATTAATAAATAGCTAATGATGAGAAGAACAAAAAATTAATATAAAAAAGAGTAAAAATTGTTATCAACATTTACATTTAGTTTATACTAACCAGTTTTAATTCAATTTGTTTGTTTAAAATTTTATTGTAGTAATTACTATTTTTAAAAAAATATCTTATCATAAAACAAAATTATCATATTTTTACAAAAAGAGATTTTTATGAAGAAGAAGTGGTTTTTAAAAATTTTAAATAAAATTACATAATACACTAGTAATTACAAATAAATGTTATAAAAAAATCTTTTAATCATAAAAATATGATGTTTATTATAAAAAACTATAAATTCTAAAATCAAAAATTTAAAACCTTCAAACAAAAAACATTAAAAATTTTTAATGAATATTATTTAAAAATATTAAAATTTCATATATAAAGTTAAATCACTATTTAAACAAAAATTTATAAAAAATGTGATTTTTTTATAAATTTTTAACCCTCAAATTTCAATGGGAATTTCTGATAAAATAGCAGATGTTGAAAATGAAATAGCCAGAACACAAAAAAATAAAGCAACAGAACATCATCTAGGAATATTAAAAGCCAAACTAGCTAAATTAAAAGCAGAATTAGATCTTCCAAAGGGAGCAGCAGTTAAAGGTAAAGGATGGGAAATATCTAAGTCAGGAGATGGACGAGCATGTTTGATTGGATTTCCATCGGTTGGTAAGTCAACATTTTTGAGTCTTGTAACAAACACTTTTAGTAAAGTCGCTGAACACGAATTTACAACAGTTGACTGTATAGCGGGTACACTTTCCCATAATGGAGCTACAATACAATTATTAGATTTGCCTGGTATTATTGATGGAGCAGCATCAAATAAAGGACGAGGAAGACAAATTTTATCAAC